ACCCCAAAATAAGCCTTAATTAAGGACCCCCCCACTCCACGGTACGCTGGTAAAAATTAAGCTAGGGTGGGGATGGTGGGGGGTGGAGCTGGCCTACTACTTAATTTTCAGACAGTTGCAGCCCGACCTCACACACCCCAACACCTGCCTTGCCAGCCCATTTCTTCTGCAGTTGGCAAGGCCAGCAAGGTTTTCCCGAAGGCTTCTACAGCCAATAACAGAGCTCCCAATTGATCCAGAGCTCTGTTATCAACTGCAGAGTCCTTCAGGAAAGCCTTGTCAGCCACAGAAGAAGTTCCTGAAGGCTCCTGACAGCGAAAAGGAGGCTGAGGGTGACCCATGCAAGTGAGGTGAGTCAGTGGACGACAACCCCTGAAAATAAAATACATGGAGTAGTAGAACTAATATTGCACTTAAGAAATATAAAATCATGTTTATTTTATATATAAACATAAGTGTCTCAAACTTTCTGGCAAGTAGTTTCATTCTGAAATAACCTTATTCTATTTTATTCAACATTTGTATAGCCATAGTATGTAAAACTCCATTTTTGGAAAATGGCACAATTAATCCAAGAGAGGACATATTTCAGCATAATATGGTGGTACGTTTTAACTGTAACGAAGGATTCACAAGAGTTGGCTCTGAATCTGCACAATGTTATCACTTTGGATGGTCTCCACAGCCTCCAATATGTAAAGGTAAAAATAGGCAATTTAAGAATTATTACTGTATTTGAGGCGGGAACAGGGAAATTAGGAGCAGATTTTTCTAAAAGTATGTTTTGTTTTCTAGAGGAAAGCTTATCAGTGGCCAGTAAACAGATTTCTCTTAGCAGGATGCATTGAATGGGACTCTCACATCTTCATTTATATATATGCAACATACAGCAGAACTGTATTCTTAAATTGTGAATAGAAAATGTTTATATGAATAGTAATATTGTTTTTCAGGTTTTTTATATATTTTTGAGGCAACAGGATTATTTCTTTTTGCTCTTTCCTTTCTAAATGGATTTCATCACTTGGAAACCTGACATTTATATTAATAGGACTTTTGAGTGTACTTTTAACATAACCAAGCACAAAAAGAAGTCAGTTAGCAGAATTACAAATCTATTGTAATATTAAACCAACCACCTACTGTGTTTCCCCCAAAATAAGACAGGGTCTTATATTTTTTGGACCGGCAGAAAAGGCACCAGGTCTTAGTTTCTGAGAGGTCTTATATTTTTCCCAATTTTTCCCCAACTGGGAAAGTTGGGGGCAGAGAGCTGCCCCTCCTGCTTAGTGCCTCCATGGCTTCACTAAACAGCTGATCTGCACTGCTTTCAGTACCTGAACATCCTCCGCAAAACAGATGATCTGAACCTGCATGTCTTGTCTAAATAGCATTTTCCTGCCAAGCCTTCAGTGTTGCAGTCCCGGGATATGCTGAAGGCTTGAGGGGGAGCTTTTTCGGTGATCGGCAGGAAAGTGGTCCTCCTTTTCTTAAGCTCAGCACAGACTGAGAAAAAGAGGCAATGGTGGGATGCTGCCAGTGTAACAACCAGTTCAGTGATCGTGCAATTCCCAGGACTGCAACGCTAAATGCTTGGCAGGAAAATGGGGAGGGAGGTTTTCCCACCTGTCCTCCTTTTCTCAGTCTGTGATGAGCTTAAGAAAAGGCTTTATGCATCTTTTTGAGAGTAAAGGAGGAAATGAGTAACAGATAACAACAGTAGACACAAAAATCTACTTATTTATGTTTTTAAAGTTATTTCTAATAGATACTTTTGGACACCAGATCTATACTGACATTTTAAACAAACATTATCTACTACTGTTTCACTGCTTTGGTTCCTGAGGCTGTTGTAATAGTTGCAATAGATATAAAAATAATAATATTCAAGCATATCAGCTTGGGATTTGAGTAAACATTCAAAATAAAAGTGATATTCTCTTTTTTCTAGAAAATGTTAAACCTTGTCCGGCATTACCCATCATTTCACATGGCAGAGTTACTGGTGAATCTAAAGCAGTATTTCAGCATGGTGATATATTGGAAGTTCATTGTGAGATCTCATTTGCACTATATGGATCAAAAATCATACAGTGTGTGGATGGTGAATGGGCACCCTTACCCTCATGCGTAGGTAAGCAGCAGCTTCCTGAAAAATGTGTTCACAAAAAGAAATATGAGCAGACAGACTTGTAAATGTAACATGGTAGTTTCTTGCACTTATCTAGTGGAGGGGAGGGGGTTGTTGCATGGTGTGTAAACTGGAATCTTCCTTCATAACAGAGTCCAATACATTATTAGTAGAGAGTGGAAGGGGTAAGATTACTTTGCAGTGTTTAAGTAATAAAATTATAGAGAAACCAATGCATTCTGATTTATCCTAATAATCTCATGAGTCATGAATATATTACTGTTCTTAGTGCTAATATCTGAGTCTTTGTTGCTTGCAACAGGAAGTAAAAATTGAGAACTGTCCTTCTCTTTGTAGCATTTCCATGGCTCCATCAGAACAAATGGTAGAATAAGACATTGCTAGAGATAACATATTCGGAAAATTTGGAACAAAGTATTGGAAATAAAATTAATGGGAGCTTAATGTAGCTTCTGTAAATGGTTCACCAATTCATGTTAAAAATACCATCACAGGTTTTGAGACTTGCAAATTTTGCAATATTGCAAATTAAATAATAACTTGACAAAAAATTGCAGCAAGTAATTCAAATACTTAGCAATTAAAATATTTAAGTCATGGTAATCAAGTACAAATTGAGAGTTAGCTGGAATGTGGATGTTCCTAGGTATTTGCCTCCTTCATTTGACCAGAGCTTTCGGTCAGAGATATTAAAGGCCTTTAACAGAACTGAAAAAAATGAAAACTGTCTCTATTTTATTTTTATTGATTGATTGATTGATAATGGAGTTACAATGGGTATATGAAACAGAGGGGCAAATTGTTTGAAGAAGCTAAACTATTAATACCTTTATGTAATAATTCCTTTTTCGGTTGCTTTCAACAGAGGAAGTAAGAACTTGTGGATCACCTCCAACAATTAAAAATGGATTTTTTGTGAATGCTGAGTCATCCATATACAGGCATGGTGACACCGTGGAATACAGATGCCAACAACGATCTATCATTATTGGGACCAACCCAGCCAAGTGTCTTCATGGGCAGTGGGAAATACCATCATGTGTTGGTAAGCTAGAGGCTGAACCTTCAGAAATGAATTTTAGGCCTGTCTTGGAATATATCAGTATTTATTATTGACATGATTGCTCCAAAATGTGACTCAGTGGAATAACAATGGGAATTGCTGCTAGGAGGTATAGGTTAGATGAATTGGTTTATGCCAGTATGGTTCATAGGCACCTTATTTTTCCTGTCTGATCCTGATTTAAAGGGGATTTTCACAGGGTCTATGAAAAAGAAAGATTTTAGTGTTTTAGAAAATGATCCAATGCCAAATATAATCCTGGTGGGATTATGTCTTTACCCTTAGACAAGAAAAATCAAATGAATAGGTATAGAATAGGTGGCATGTAGCTCAACAGCAGTAACTTTAAGAGGGATCTAGGAGTATCAGTGGACAACTACTTAAATATGAGCCAGCAGTGTGCTGCAGCTGCCAAAAAAGCCAATGAAGTTCTAGGTTATATCAACAGAGGAATATTATCAAGGTCACATGAAGTATTACTACTGCTTTATACTGCTTTGGTAAGACCACATTTGGAATACTGCATCCAGTTTTGTGACCATGATAAAAAAAGATGTTGAGACTCTAAAAATGATGTAGAAAAGAGTAGCAAAAATGATTAGGGGGCTGAAGGTTAAAACATATGATGAACGGATGCAGGAGCTGGCCATGTCTAATCTAACAAAGAGAAGGACTACGATTGGCATGACAGGAGTGTCCCAATATTTGAGGGACTGTCACAGAAAAGAGGAGTCAAGCTATATTTTTCATTTTTTTTTAGTGAACAGTTTTCAAGACAGTCTACCATAGATTAAGATTCCTGTGTTCCTCACAACAGGGGAGATCTATAACTGGTAGCCTTGAAATTGAGAGTGGGAACAGAAAGGAAAGGGATACAATTATCCAGGTTTATTGATTTATTGGTTTGTTTGTTTATCAATCCAAC